CTCTTCTTCTTCTTCAGAACATCAAAACAAAGACGGGAAGAGAAGCCATAAAATGCTAATACACCTTGACACTTTAGTCCCAATCAAATCCCTAGATCAGGGAGAAAATTCCCGGGCTTTCCACATCTAAAGAACATTGGTTACATGAGAAACATGTGACTTCCTGTGAGCAACATAAACAAACATTTAACCCCAGATATACTGAGTGTTTTCAACTTGTAATATCCAACAGTTTGTAAGCGTCTCTGAGACTCCAAGGGAAGGCCAGGATATAAATCCAGCCTCTTCTCTTCTTTTTAAGTTTCCCATACATCGCTCAGTAAAAAGTAAATCTGTACACCTTGCATTTTTAGGTAAAGCTTTTGCACCTATTGGAGCTGAGGTGGCTCAAGTGGTTAAGACGCTGAACTGCAGGCTGTGGAAGGAAACGTCTTCGGACAGCGCTGGCTCTTCGGCTTTGAAACGGAGATGAGCACCGCAACCCTAGAGTCGGATTCCACTGGCTTTCGAGCAAGGGAACCTTTACCTTTACCTTTGCACCTATTATTATAAGTGTTTTTGTTGTCCTCTAGTTCCGTTGTATACACAGTTTATTTAATGTATTCTTCCAATCCATCTGTAAAATCTTGCCCATGTATATTCTACCGTGGGGGGGACCCCTTTTTTTTTTTTAAAGACTTAATATAATTTTGCCCAGAGAGAAAGGGACCTTTGTTAGGGTTGCCAGCCTCCAGGTGGGGCCTGGAGATCTCCCGCTTTTGCAACTGATCTCCAGCTGACGGAGATCAGCTCCCCTGGAGAAAATGGCTGCTTTGAAGGGTGGACTCTATGGCATTGTTCCATGCTGAGGCCCCTCCCCTCCCCAAACCCCGCCCTCTCCTGGATCCACCCCCAAATCTCCAGGTATTTTCCAACCCAGACCTGACAACCCTAACCTTTGTTAAGACCACCCCAAGCAACGCAAAGCATGTGAGCTTCTGAGATCTGTTTAAGTTTCAGTTTAAGGCACTCTGTTTGGTAAGGAGACAACGGAGGCCAAACTGGGTTCTCATTCGTAGTGGACGGAGGACAGGCTGCCCCCTTGCCTGGCAAAGTCCCCTTGGACAATCAGTTTCCCTGCAGCTGAAGATTCCTTCTCTTTGGCGGCTAAATTTGGTATTTCCCCAATATTCCCTTGAATAACCTCCAGTATATTCCCTTATAATAACCTCCAGTTTTAGCTAATATGGCATGTCTCTTGCTTCTGACATGTCTTCCAAGAGGTTGACATTTTTAGTGACAGGAAGACTCCGTGCTAAAATGTTCATACTCCCCGTGCCATTTTGTCGTCCTCTCCTTTGTTGTTTAATTAATTAATTGATTGATATCCCTCCCACCCCGCCAAAGCTGGCTCAAGGCGGTTCGACAACTTTGTGGGTATTTCACACTCAGCAACATCTTAATCGCTCTAGCTTAATCTGTGGTATTCTCTTATACCTCTTAATTCTCTTAATCTATGGCATTCTCTTATAAATGCAGACGTTGCATCTTGCCACCATGGTTGGAAAATATTTTATCCCCCCGCACCCAGTTAGGGTTGCCAAGTCCCCCCGGGGGCAGGAAAACCCCCCCCCGAGAAGCCCGTTCCCCGCCGGCGGGGATTGGGCCGCCGGGGGGGACCCCACCCCCAAAGCACGTAACGCGCCCAGCGTAAACACGTCACCTGGAGGTGACGCAATCACTTCGGGCATGTTGTGGGGGGGGGACGCTTTATCATCTGAGGGAAAACTCTATGCTTTTCCCTCGAATGATTGTGGCTCCGCCCCAATGTGCCTGACGCAATTGCGTCCGGGACTCCCCCCGCTATTACAAAGGTAGGACTTGGCAACCCTATTGCCAGCCTTCAGGTAGGACCTGGGGATCCAAGGACCACAAGGGTAAGAAAGAAGTCAAACAAAGGGCCAATATTAAAAACTTAATTTAAAACTTACAATATACAAAAATACATGTATTTATTAGAAAGACCATTTAAACATATAAGGGCCCAACGAAAGCCTCATAAACAAGTAAAGGCGGCATAAGCCCAAGGGCCAAGACACATGACCTGACGCGTTTCCGCCCTATTAGGGCTTTCTTCAGGGGTCAAATTGTTAGGCCTTGCAAGTAGATAAATGGGTACCTGCTCCTAAGTAGCAGGGGGCACCCTCCTCCCTACGGAGTGGTGTGCAGCCGGAGTGCCGGCGAAGCAACGGTGTGGCGTGGCAGCGACGTGCGGAGACCTGGGGATTCGGCAGGCATGGCAAACATCCGGCGTCGAGCAGCGGCTGAATCTGGGCGAGGATTGGACGGGGAGGCGTGGTGACGTGGCGACGCAGCATGGTGGAGCCAATTGGACATATGCCGGAGCTGCGACCGTCACACAGCCACACACCATGAAGACCTCGCCGAAAGGAGTCGCTACAAACAAGACGCGCACCATGACGCCGTTGGTAGGAGGTGAAGAGCCCACTATGAAAAGAGCCGAGAAAAAGAAGAGCCCTGCTGTCTGGGTGCTGGTAGGCATTCACCTTCCCTTGTGAATTGTGGCCCTAGATAGGATGTGACTAATCATATGTAAACCGCTCCGAGCCTCCGGGAAGGAGCGGTATAGAAACCAAATAAATAAATAATAAATAGGGACAGTTACGTTTGCCCCAGGGCAATAACTTTTGCCCCACGAAGAAATCAGGCAGAAAATTCAAAGTGGAGGTTTTTAAAGATCTTTATCTGATGTACATCAGGGAAACCCAGCCTGAGATCAGAGACTCGGGTCTGAGGTCCGAAACTCAGGCCAAGGGCTTCGTAGTTCTGTGGTTACATACAGCTTTTATACAATCACCTAATTAACATATGCAAGATTCTAATGCCCTATCACGAACGCAAAAAGCCCCTATTTGTTAGTTGATTGGTCAACCACAAACTTACAATCTCCTCGCACGCCTCTTCTCCCTAGTCCCACATTGGTTTGTTTTTATTCCATTTATGTACATGCTTCCTCCCAATTAGTTATACATTGTAGTGAAAACCAGGTGATTTCCATCCTCAAGTATAATTGGGATGGTATGCTTCATCCGGTCCTCCCCTATCAAGAGCAGCCACGTGCTATCTTCTGGTTTGCTATCCTTATCAACAAATATGTTCCTTTAGATGTCTACCTTATGATGGACGGCATCCTGCCTTCTGCCTTCTGCTGTGCATCTTGCATTCTGCTGTGTAAGCTTATTTTCTACAAGAAGAAGAAGAAGAGATTGGGTTTATACCCTGCCCTTCACTACCCAAAAGTGTCTCAGAGCGGTTTACAAACTCCTTTCCCTTCCCCTCCCCACAACAGACACCCTGTGAGGCAGGTGGGGCTGAGAGAGCTCTTGACAGAGACTCTGAACTGCCCTTGAGAGAACAGCTCAGAGAGAACTTGTGACTGACCCAAGGTCACACCAGCAGCTGCATGCGGAGGAGTGGGGAATCAAACCCGGCTCTCCCAGATTAGAGTCCGCGCACTTAACCACTACACCAAACTGGCTCTCAAATCAACTTTTTTTAATAACAGAGTTCATTCTGAGTGTGTTCTGCTTTCTAGCTTCTAAAAGCAGGCTCTAATACTTCTCATTATAGATATTGATGATGAATTCCCAAAATTTCCCAATCAATAACCATCCCTAACAAAATAATAACTTTAATACATATTGCAATGAGATAACCATGTGACTTTGTTCTTGTTCAGTCGCACAGTCGAGTCCGACTCTTCGCGACCCCATGGACCAGGACACGCCAGGCCCTCCTGTCTTCTGCTGTCCTCTGAAGTTCACTCAATTTCATGTTCGTTGCATCGATGACACTGTCTAACCATCTCATCCTTTGCCGTCCCCGTCTTCTTTGACCTTCAATCTTTCCCAGCATCAGGGTCTTCTCCAGTGAGTGCTCCCTTCTCATTTGGTGGCCAAAGTATTTGAGCTTCAGTTTCATTATCTGGCCTTCCAGGGAACAGTCAGGGTTGATTTCTTTGAGGATTGACTGATTTGTTCTTCTTGCAGTCCAAGGGACTCTCAAGAGTCTTCTCCAGCACCATAGTTCAAAAGAATCTATTCTTCGGCGCTCGGCCTTCCTTATAGTCCAACTCTCACAGCCATACATGACTACTGG